CTAAACCCAACATGATAAAATTTTCAGCCACTTCTTTGCCTATTAAAAAGGTGAGAGGGTTTTCAACTGTTGTGTTTGGGATTTTTAAAAATAAATATTGATGATTTGCTAGCTAAAAAAATGAGGAGGAAAAAAAGCGAGAAGCATTTCTAAAAACCTTCAGTGAATTAATTTGCTAGATACAGTTTCAGCCACCTAGAAATGCTGTATAGGCTTATTTAATGAATAAGCTGGAAGGATGTAGAACTGCAGCCACAAAAGCAGCAGGAAGATTGACTCTGGGATGTTGTGAATTTTTGAATGTACCATTGTGTTGTTGTCTGTGTTTTTAGCACTCAGGGACTAATCAAAACAGCATCAGCTAAGGAATACAAAGCTACAAACCAACATGGTAAATGTGTTCTGTAGTTAAGGGTAAACACAAGAGTTTCAAACCTAATTAGATTACAGCAAACCTGTGGCATCTACAGCTAATGCTGCATCACTGAATCAGTAATGCTTGAACTCACCTGGACATTATTACCATTGCAGCTGCTGCTGCCCAGGATGATAATGCTTATAAGAAAGCAGAGGGTAAGAAAGTACAGACAGTTACAAGGTAGTTGGGGGAAAGATATTGCCATTTGACATAGGATTAAGGATGAGTACAGTGTACTTTATTACACAGACATAACTGTAAATGAGCAGAGGAGATACAAAAGGAGGGACTCATATGACTTTCTTGATGTAAGTAAAACTCATGTTGAAGTATAGTTTAATTTTTCCATCTAGTAATCAAAAATTTTCATACCAGTTATTTTTATCCATTCTCTTTCCATTACGTTTTAGAAAAGCCTAATTTAGCCATAGCTGGTCATCCAAGTATACATTCCTCATATAGATTTTTCAAAAAAATCCGTTTTCACATGAAGCAGTGTGAACAATATCTTTTAGTCCTGCTGTTTAGTCCTGTTTCAGAAATAGGCAAGATCCATAAGTAGTAATTTTGATTTATTGTGTTAGGCAGATTCTGCAATTAAATAACAGATTTAAGAGCAGAATTGTAATTGGATAGCTTTTTTATTTGCTTATATGAAATAAATTTACATACTGCTCGAAGTGTGCACACATTAGATGTGTCTGCAAGATATCCTTTTTTTTTCATAATTATTTGTAAATTGATTTAGAATAAATTTAAGAGGGATTAGCCAGATTAGGGAAACTAATCCATCTCTCTTAAAACCTTCATCAAACAGAGATGATACAAAATTCTCTTGTCTTGTTCTGCCTACCTAATAGGTAGAGACAGGAATTCACAATGTCCTGAGCAGCATATTGAAATGAAAGGAAATCATGTTTTCATGTAGAGTTTTACTGTAACTGAATGAAATGCTATGTTTATTTCATAAACTACAAATGACAGGAATTGACAGCCCTGCTGTGAGGATTTAGCATCACACAAGAGCAGCTTCCTCCAGAAGCTTCATATGGCTTGAGGTGACTGTCAATTCAAAGTACATCATATTGGCAACTGGATGCCTTCTTTTAACACCTGAAGTGCTATTCAGTATCTTACTGAATTATTTTCTATGAGAAGTGTTCTCAACATTAAAGTGATTCTCCTAGTTTAAAGAGATAATGGCTTTCATGACTTGACACAGAAAGAAAAAAGGCTTCCATAAGAACATTCATGCATCTAATTAGCTCCTTTGCTGTGGCTCTAGCAAAGAAATTATTGTATGAAAAACATAATCCTCTCATAAGTATCTATCTGGATCAGGGAACATATGTCCAATTCACAGCCCATCAGCAGGTACACATGAAAGCAGAGGACAGAGTCATGGAATCACAGTAAGGTTTGGGTTGGAAGAAACCTTAAAAATCATCTGCATGCATCTAATTAGCTCCTTTGCTGTGGCTCTAGCAAAGAAATTATTGTATGAAAAACATAATCCTCTCATAAGTATCTATCTGGATCAGGGAACATATGTCCAATTCACAGCCCATCAGCAGGTACACATGAAAGCAGAGGACAGAGTCATGGAATCACAGTAAGGTTTGGGTTGGAAGAAACCTTAAAAATCATCTGCTTTCAACCCCCCTGCCATGGACAGGGACACCTCCCACTAGATCACATTGCTCAAAGCCCCATCCAAACTGGCCCTGAACACTTCCAGGGATGTGGCATTCACAGATTCCCTGAGCATCCTGTTCCAGTGCCTCACCATGCTCACAATTTCAGAATTTCTTCCTAATATCTAATCTAAGACTACCCTCTAAACAAGAGGAAACCTTTAATGCTTTTCAAGGAAAACAAATAACTGATGTAAAGAAAAGTTATTCTTGTGAAATTAGCAAGGCATAATCTGAGAACTACTCTGATGACTTGTAAAACGTTTACTTCCTCCCATTTTCTCCTTGTTAACTGATAAATGCCTATGTTTTAGAAATATAAGCCAGTCTTAAAATGCAAGTGTGGTTAGAAAGAGAGATGAAATCTGTGTTGCTATAGTCTTCAAGAGGAACATGGATACAGAAGTGGGCATTAGAAAAATGCTTTGGTCCTGTGTCTGGTGAACGATGACTATGTGAAAATTGTGGGAGAGATTGTGACCTGCTGTCAGAGCTCATGAAAATAAATGTTTGATTTTGTGTCAGTAAATGTTTTTGCTGACTATCAAGCTTTTCTTAGTACTAGGAACATTTTGCATTGCCAGAATCTCACTGCTTTATACAAATAAAATTAAGTGCATGATGAATGGAGAAAGACAATTATTTTGTTTTTTCTTAGGATATATTTGCATTCACATAGAGGAACCAGAATGTTTGGATGGTTTTGCAGGTTAAGTTCTCATGAGAGATTCACTCTGGACTACATGGCTATCACATTTTTTTTCAAAGTGACTTCCCAGAAAAGATTCTGTGGAGTTCAGTTTCTTCACCTCACCTCAATTTGCCCAGTGAAAGTTGTGTTTATGTTGCTATGTTCAGACATGCTCAGGAAGGGTCAAGTTAGCCAATGAGATACTAAAACCCTTTTTAAACTGCCCTATTGAAATGAGAATTATGTCCAGTATTCTATTATTTGTACATCACTGCTTTGTAGAAGGCACTGGTTTGAGACTTGGAATTGGTATGGCATTGCTGTCACTAGTAGATCACATTGATTCCAAGTAGATAAAAGATAGTATTGATATATTTCTAAGACAATATGCTGCAACTGTAGTAGAAAAGGAAGAACATAGAGGTAAATGAAATACTGCCTTATGACATCTCTCTTTTGCAAACAGTAGTGAAATGTGCATTTGTAATCTTTATTTCACCCTTTTTGCATGTAGACTCTATGCCAAGTGACAAAGCATCCCTTAATAAAAAAAATTAAAAGGAGAAACAGCTTAAATAGAATGGTAGACCGGTGCTATTTTCAGGGGGAAAAAAAAGGAGAAGTGAATAGTGAATTGATTGTACTTTTTTTGCCAGTCTAATTACTCAATAAAGCCACAACTTTGATAAAGTTCATCTAATCATGAGGTTTTAATGCCTGTCATCAGAATGGAGGTTAATCTATAATTGTATTCATTGTAAAGGTCATGGACAGTGTAATTGTGGAAGGTGTGACTGTAAAGAAGGATGGACTGGGAAAAAGTGTGAGCATCCACATTCTTGTCCATTGTCAGTTGAGGAAAGTGCTAAGAAATGCCAAGGAAATTCTAACTTGCCTTGCTCTGGAAGAGGTAAGCACATTTCTGGAAGAATTTTCATGCCCTTAAAATGTACTTCCATTAAAAGAATTTTTACATATACGCAGCATTACTAGTACTGAAAAATGTGTATTTTCTTCGCTTACTGTGTGTGAATCACACCTGCACAAATTGTGAATTAGGCGAATGGAGGAGAAGAATAAAAAGGTCACCTATTTTTCCCTGTCATCTTCTGCTTTATGTTTTATTTCACATCTCTTAACATTTGTTTTAGAAGTTTTCAAGGATGCTTTGAAGATTACCACAGTTAAGCCTTTACTAAAGATACATTAAGAATATGAACCTATTCTGTGCATTCGTTGACAAATGTGCCATTAAGTTTTCAGCCTGTGTAAAATTTTGTGGCACTGTCTTGGTAAGAACTGTTTGGATTTACTCTGCCTAAGAAACTCCCAGTTGAGTGCAGGACTGACTTCCATAAAATACAGTTGTGCTTCAGCACACTTAGCCAGTTGGCCACTGTTATTTCATTTGAAAGCACTGCCTTGTGACACTGTAGCCTTTTCCAAAGTTTTGACTAAAAAAGTATACTAAGTCATACATACACTTGAAATACACATTGCAAGCAGAAGAAATATTTTCTCAGAAGGAAAAGCACCTACTAATTTTCATCTGCCACTGTGTGAAATGTGGGGTGTTTTTGCAGAGACAAAAGAGAAAAGTAAGTATGAGACAGTATATTGCTAGAACTGGTAATTGAAGCTATTATGAATTCTGCCCACTTAAGTATTTGCTGAGAAAGGTCTAAAGCTACTCTTGAATTACTACATTTGATCCTAAATCTCAGTTAATTTGCAATTTCTTCTTTCATTAGTACAATGTAACATAGTTAAACCTGTAGGCTGTCCACCCAAGTTAGCTGTGTGGTAAATGTATTTTCTCCCCCTGAACACGCACTGCAGCTCATAACTTAGTAAATGCAGCATTATCAGTATCTTAAAAGAACTATGTGTTAACAGACTGTTGCTTGCTTTTCTCTTAATAAAGTTACACTTTTCCAGCAAAATCTGTCTTTTCTTGCTAAAAATTTACAAAATAAATTTTAGCTACAGGTTAGGTGAAAACTGAGCTCTTGTGGAGTATTAACTGCATTTTACTGTTTATGATTCCAAGAATGAAAACTGAAAGAAAGGAGGGTTAATTTTTATTTAATTTTTTTTTTCTTGTAATACTGACTTACTTTTTTTCTGGTTCTCATTGGATGCTGAATTTCTCTTCTTTCATCTGCTTCAGTAGGAGTTGTGTATGTTGAGAATTTGAAGTCAGTTCTATGGTTGAATTGCATTGTGCACAATTAGAGGCAAATGACAAAGAGTCATAAAACTGATTTGAATTCTAGTAAAGGTACAGTCAAGTGATGGAGAACATATGTTCTATTTAATATTTAAATTGTATTTCAAATTTTGACATTTTATATTAAGCATCATGAGAAAAGTAAGTTTAAAGATTCCAGTATTAATGTCAATAATTCTAACCCCTTGACTTTCTGAAAAAACACCTATTAATGCTGGCAGTGAGACAAGCCCCTTTTATTTGAATTCATTTGACTAAGCATCTGTTGGTCAAAATATTCAGATAAAGTACAAAAAAAATCTATTGAAACAAAAGGCTTAATTGATAGTGGCTTTCAATGAACTTTGACTTCCAAAAAAAGAAGAGATCACCAAGGTGTTTGTGGAGTGCAAAAGGTGCAGATGTGGATCTAGGTCACAGTATGATAGACAGCTGCTGTAATGAAGGAACAAGAGATTCTGCATGCTGCACATACCAAAACATTTCCATGCAAAGTGACATTTGAAAATGGAAAGTGGTATCTTGTTTTACTTCTATGAAAAATTGTGTTTAGGAAATTGGTAAAGAAAAGGAGAAGAGATATTTTAGTCCACTCATCTGTGCTTTACTGGACAGTGTATTTTTCTTACCTTGGACTCCCTGGATTTTCCTTTCTGCCATGATATTGTGGATATAACAAAAAATGTAAGAAATTTCCTGCACTGCTGAAGCAATGCAGGTGTTTAGTTCCTATGAAAAATTGCCATTGGACTTGCACAGTTAAATTCTTTGGTCCCTTTTGAAAATCATTCTGCTTGTCATTATAGCTGGTCATGGGCAGAAGTGTTACACAAGAAAATGAAACAGAAAAAATATTTCCAGTCAAACACAACTCCCTTCAGGTCTTCAGGGGTGGGAAAGGCCATGGACTTCTAACACCAGCTCCAATTTTTCTGATGTGCATTGTGTGATAAGGAAGGGAAAGTTCCAAATGAAATCAACATGTTACCTCTACCATTTGAGGTTTATTGTTTGGTAACCACCTTGTAATATATTTCCCCTGCCTACGGTGCAAGGACAGTAAGTCCTCATACAGGTCAGTAACCACTGCACAGACTTCAGTTACGATATTCTGGTCCTAAGATTAACAAAAACTGTATCTCCTAGATGGTATTTTCTTGTTGAAATGTTAAGCATGACTTCCAAATGTGATAATCCTGCACTTGAGCAATGTTAAAAGAAAATAAATCCATGCTGCCCGAGGAAGCATTGAATAAATAGCCCTGCAAAGCTTTGGGTGGCTATTTTTAGGTTTTTGTACATTTAACAAAACTTTCTGATAAGGAAGGCTATAAAACTCTCAGTGATTCAGCTTCAGTCTTTAAAATTTCCAGTAATAATTACAGAAGGTGAACCAGAAAAAAATACTGAAAATAACCAAATCAAATCATGCTACCAAATCTTCTAAATTCCTCATAACAAAAAAAGTTTGGGATTTATACATATTTGTGTCAGAGATTTGGGATGGCTTATTAAAAAAAAATAATCATCATTTCAATTCACAAAATTGTATAATATCACAAAAATAAATATGGCAAAATGATACTTTTCAAAAATTTTCTATTAGTCTGAGGGACTCAGTGTTTACATCTTTGAACTTAATTTTGGTAAGGTGCTTATTTTATACCTTATATCTTGCTTTTACAAGTAATTATAAATGGAAAAGTGAATGTGAGCCTAATCTTACCTGGGTATTTTTTGTGATTCAATGACCCAATATGTTTGTAATATTAAATTTTCATCTGAGGTACCAGGTTTTTATGTAATTGTACCCAAATTTTTATTATTTACATATAAGAGAAATTATGTTTCTGTATAGACAGAAATAGAGAAAGCATCAACAGTGGAAACTAAGAGAATTGTCACATGCCACCCAGATTTTGAGAATCCCAGGTTCCCTTAACTATTAGCTAGGTACACTCAGCAAGAGAAAGAAAAGCTTCTGAAAAAAAGTTGACAGTGAAAGTTTTTTTAAAATGTGAAGCGTATCTGGAGTATGTAAAAGTTGTATTAAAATTTTTAGAGAATTAAAAAGATTTTATGAAGAACACAACCTGATTAGATAATTACTATCTATAAAATGCAATAGATTACAGTTTCTCAATCTGCATTTTGCTCTCCTGAGAGCAGATGAAGGAGTGAACTTTTATTTCACACTGCAATTCCCGTCCTGATTTTCCCCAGTCTCTCACAGGAAAACCAAGCTGTTTCATGGGTGCTGGTCAGCAAGTGGGGAGAGCAGAGAGGCTGCCAAAATATATTACAACATGGTCTAATATTTCCTAGCCACTTCAGTAGGTGAAGGAGAGAGAAGGCTTCATATTGACATGCTCAGCAGTAAATGAGAATGTCTACATGTTCAAATAATGTTATAAAGGCAGAGGAAATGTAAATACTCTCAGTCATATCAATCAGGCTGTCTATAACTTCAGTAGTTCCTGTTATATATAAAAGGAGAGAAGGATCACATGTAAATTTTGGGAATTAAAATACATTATCT